TTCTCGCACTGCGATAAAACAATGGTACATAGAGCCATCGAATTTTAAATGATGTAATCCTCCTACAAATATGGGCTCGTGAAAGAACCAAATTTGAAATTTGGAATTTGTTTTATTATCGATTTCCTATTTTTTAAAACTTTAACGAATTTTTGATTAACAAACTCAAGGATTTCAAAGCGAGCATTGGCAACACTCTACGGGGGGGGGGACTTTTTATCTCCACGGTTATTTTGTTCTTCTAACTTACCAAGTCTCACGGACTGGAGGAAATGGCGTTCGCCAAAGTCCTCATCTTCTTTCTTCTTGCTTAAAATTTTCCTGCTAAAGATTGCTAAAATCTCCAGCACGCGGAACTGTGTACCGGAAATTCTAAAGATGTGCTCATTTTAAAATTATTTTGCGACATTGCTAATTAACTGAATTTTATGGTTCAAGTCCAAAGAACATGATATTTAATAAATAAAGGTAACGCACAAAATATTTAAAAAACGCCCATTTGGACGTAATTTTAAATCTGAAAAACCTTTCAGATTTTTTTTTTTTTTTTTTTTTTAAAGATAAAGGTGTCCAAGATCCATGGTCAGAGAGGTGTATTACATGTCGAGGTTTACCATGTTTAGGAACGAGAATCCAGGATCACGGGTGGGGGAGTTTGGCATATGACAACACTGAAGTCGAGTAAATGGTGTTTTTGTATCGATGAATATGAAGTACTATATCATACAGTGGCGGACTAAGGCTAAAGCGGGCCCTAGGCAACATTGTAATTCCGAGCCTATTTTTCAGTCATGACTAATACTTTGCGTTTGGTAGTTTTGGTTTTAAAGCGTATAGTATGTAGTTCTATTTAATTCGGATACCAAGAAAAAAAAGGAAAAAATAATATACTTGTACAAAAATTGAATAAACATAATTTATTAAAACGAACAAACGTAAACATAATTTATTAAAACAAAAATAAACATAATTTATTAAAACAAACAATAATACTTAGATAGATATATTCAGATTGATTATATTGCCTTTTTTCTCACTTTTAATTCTGCAAACTCGTCAATTAGTTTGTCATAATTAATAGTTATTTAATAACTCTTTTTCTGATAAAGTAATGATAAAGTATTTAATTTTTGTTGGCCTAATGTGGATCTTAAAAGGTTTTTTATTCTGGTCATTACTGAGAATGATCTTTCACCGCTTGCATTGCTTATTGGAAGTGATAAATAAATTCTCCGAATTATGTTTAAATTAGGGAATGTTTGCAAATATATTATTTTCCTGAATAAATGACCACATGGATACAGGCGAAATAATATTTTCTTTACTTATAAAAGTCTTAAATTGTAATACTTCATTTTTCAGTTCTGCAAAGTTTAAATCTTGTTGATAACATTTTAATTCCTCTATTGAAGAATCATTAACATTAGTATCATGAAAAATTGTTTTGAATTTATTGTTAATAGTTTTATATTCCTCAGATCTTTTTTGAATGTTGCTAATTAAAGAATCGCATTACAACAACAACAACAAAGAAAGTATTAACTTTAGAATGTTCTTTGCACACTGAATCTTATTTCATATTCTGGAATTTCACCATGAAATAGTTTTCGTATTTTCTGCCATTTTTTATCATTAGTATACGCAATATCTTTAACTTTTTCTGCTTCTTTTTCTAAATTGTCAAAATCATCTCTAACAGTTTGTATGAAATCTATCAATGAATCATATATTAAAACTTTTGTATTTAGGATTTAGGGATTCGTCTTTTTGTTGCAGAGTCTTGTTTGAAGCATCTATTCTCTCTAAAATCTTTTCCCATATAGTAAGTAACACTACATACTGAAATGTATCAAGTTTTTTATGTAAATCGGCAGCTTCGGACCTTGTTAATGGTTTTTCATCTTTGAGGAAAAATTATGTAAACAATGTTTAATTTCTTCATAATTTTCCTTTAAGGATTTCACAGCATCGGAACGAGCAGACCACCTTGTGTCACAAATAGGTTTAATACTCAAGTGTTTGTTCTTACAAAATTTTTGTAATGCATTCCACCTACGTGTAGAATTTGGAAAAAAAAAAAAAAAAAAAAAAAAAAAAAAAAAAAAAAAAAAACGTACAATTCCTGAACGATATTGAAAAAAGTGGTCATTTCCATGCAACTTTCGGCAGCAGCGTTTCCAGTTAAATTTAATAGTAAATGATTTGCGCATGGTATAAAATGGACAGAAAAAATATACTGTTTTATTCTGGATTAAAGTCTCTTATATTTACCTGACATATTAAACGCATTATCATAACTCTGTCCCCGACAATTAGTGATGTCTAAATCTATATTATTTAAAAATTCTAAAATAACTTTCTCTAGTTTTCACCAGTATGAGAAAATATAGGTAGAAATCACAAAAATCTTCCTTTTATACCACTTGGAAGAACGTAGCGAATAATGACGGTCAGCTGTTCTACGTGAGATATATCAGGTGTCGAATCAATAATTAGAGAGTAAAATTTGGCTTCCTTTATTTCGCTCACTATTGTGAGTTGTAAATCTTTCGATATAATAGAAATAAATTCATCACATATTGTAGACGACAAATAGTTTATAGTACCGGTGCCGCAGTTTGCATATTTTTTCATGTGTTCCCGCAAAAATGGATCGAACTCGGATAAATATTCCAAAGCACCTATATAATTACCATTATTTTCACTAAAAAGCACTTCATTTTTACCACGAAACTCTAAAGAGTATGAAGAAATAAATTTGATTGTCACTACCACACGTTTAAGTACTTCCCTGCAATTTTTTTTTTTTTTTTCCCCCTTCATTTATAATTTGTTTTTCCAGTTCAGTGTCAATGCGTCCGGTAATTTTAGATCTTGTTATAAAAAATAAAATGGAGTTAATGTGGTCACTGGAGTTTTCATGCTCTGACAATTTTTTATGTACATTTTTCCAATTATTCATCTCTTTTGTCATTAGCGTTGTTTGCTTGGAAAATAATTCAGACGTAACAGTACTATAAGTTGTTGGTTTCAGTATAAGCCAACCAATCTCTTTTAACTTTTCCCCCGCTATTAATTGTTCTGAAGAAGGAGACAATAGTTAATTTTCTTGTGATTTGTTTTGACCCTTCGTTGCATCGAATAGAAGATGATTCCAAAGATCCATTTATTGATTTTGGTAAATTTTTTATATAAAACTCTCGCATGGCGTCTATTGAGTATTCTGGCCACAATGCACTATCGTTTACAAAATTCTTAGTTTCATCATTACTTTGAGATGATGTTAAATTTATATTTTCTCCTTTTGTTTCATTTTCACAAACGGAATAATTACTTGGTTTTTCTTGCTGGTCTTTTTTGCAGAATAGTTTCCGACACAAATGATGTTTCTAGAGTTTGAGCAGGTGAAATTTGTGAAAATGATGACAACTGTTGTAATTGTTCTCCATCTACAGTTAAAAATTTGTCCAACGATCTTTTCATTTGTTTTGCCACTTTATCTCGATCTGCTTTTCGTTTTCTTTTTTCACTTCTACTTAAATGTTTATAGGAACTCATTTTAAAGACCACGTGTTAAAAAGAAAGAAGAAAAGAATCTTCATTTAAATTTATTTTTACTCAATATCACAATCACAAAACAAAATCACAATTCGTGGTATTTTATATTATATATTATTTTAATTAAATAATGTGATACTTTTATAAAAACTTACATTTTTATTTTAGGTATTCCAGAAAGTATTAACTGTGAATCCAAAAAATCTATTTGCAATTAAGTCTAGGTATTTAAGTCTTAATTGCACAATTTTCAATCACAACTCACATAAGATGCAATACGTTCAGGAGACACGGGTTTTAAATAGCTACGTTTGACTTTTTAAACACGTTCATAGTAAAGGCTCGATAGGCGCGAGGCTCGATCGTATTTACACACATCGACACTCGCGGGCGTGGATGCATAAGCACGGGAACGCTCGTCCACACTTGTCGATTTTATCAATCAACAATTCGGCATAATTTGGAAACGTTTCAGTAATAATTATGAATATCACGTTTTTCTGTTATATAAAAATAAAAGTTAAAAACCTAATTTTCGGGCCACGGGCCCTAGGCACGTGGCTAGGCCTTAGTCCGCCCCTGATATCATAATACGCTTTTTGTATTGATAGAATACTATTATCTGTAATTTATATAACTGATATTCCTTAGTTCCATTAATTGTTCCTTAGTCCAGGGGGGGTTGCGTACAGGTTAGCCAAGGATTTGATTTTTTAAGGGTTAAAAAGACATTTAGAAATATTTCTTGAAACGCGTCCGATGGTTTTTTAGTATTAATCAAAATTTTCAGAGTGTTTTTGCACGTATTGCCATAGGTGAGGGCATTTATGCAAGATTAAACAGGAAGACAGTTTTCACTGATTTTAAAGTACATATTTTACGAAAATTGCAATTTTTTCTTTTGTTCATTACACTAAGCGAAACTAACCGAATTTCAGTTTCAGGGCATTATATTTTTCAATTTCCTTTATTTAAAATAGAGGAAAATGAGATTTAAACACATTGATATTGAAGAAAGGTTGTTTTCTAACGTTTCTACTGAAAGTGTAATATTTTTAATCTTTAGTTTTAGCAAAAATTAAAAAAAAAAATAAAGAAACTATGAGTATTGTTTAGGTTAATTGTTTTTTGTTTCATATTGACATTAAAACTTCATTCATTCATTATTGTTTTTTTAAAAAATTAATGATTGAATGCTAAAAAACATTGATTGTAATCCTGATTAAATGTTAACCGAAAATTTTATCTCGTTACTATGATTTGACGGTGTTAGATCTTGGTAAAGAATTTTACCCGAAATTTTCCTAACGAAGTTTTTGCGCAGCGAAAAAGTGTCATCGCTGTTTCGGCCACTCACCCCTCTATGCCGCACTTAGCTTCACAGAGCACCTGTAAGACCCACGTGATCACTGCTACCGCAAGAAGCGATGTGGCTCACACTGCGCAGTCGCAGTAACCATCTCTTGCTTGAAGCTTTCATTCCTATCTAGTTTTGTCTTTTAATAATTGATACGAAGAGCTAAAAGATGTTAAGATTTTTTAACGTTACTTAGAGGTTAAAAACATAAATGCTGCTCGCATCGAAACAACAGGAAATGCAGGACTGCTGTGGCCCGGATGTTGGATAGTTTTTTTTTTTTTTTTTTTTTTTTCCGCGACTTCGGTGGATTCATTCTCTGTGTTTGTGTTGTATCCTATGTTAGGTCGACTCACCGATTAAGTGTGTTATGGTATATTCGTGCAGCGCTGGGCCTTTTGCAGGTAAGAGCCTTCAAATTTAAATTTGTGTTCATGTATTGAATCATTTATCAGCTGACATTGTGTTTATTTTAATAAGTGAAGTCGATTGGTGTACGGGTACCGTCTGCGTACATGTAGATCTCGCGCCAATGGCACGTCCCCATGCGTGACGTAGACATTTCTCAGGTCAAACTCTGACGGCGAGGATGTCGATTCTCACACCAAATATTTCAGTAATTTATTCTGTACTTATGCAAAATTTAGTACTATTGGTGTATAAGGTGGCAACAGCTTGCATAAAGTCCATAAATATTCGAGACTGCATGTATATGCATGTAAACTCCCTGCGGAGAGGCGTGACTGAATTATGCAATGTTTATGTTGACATTTCTGCTAATATTGCCACTTCAGTAATGATGACTTTAGGTTGGTCATTTAATATTGCTATTATTTAAGTCGATTAGACGGAAACTTTATTAAATTAAATGCAGAATGAATACTGAAAATATTTCAGTGCTAATATTTAACACTAACGTGGCTAATGCTTTCATTATTATTCAGCATATAAATTAGATCTCGTGTATTTGGTTTAAAGTATATGGTTGTTAAATAAAGACAAACGAATGCTAAAAAAGTTGGTAAATTAATCTTATGTTTATTATTTAACACTAACGTGGCTAATGCTTTCATTATTATTCAGCATATAAATTAGATCTCGTGTATTTGGTTTAAAGTTTATGGTTGTTAAATAAAGACAAACGAATGCTTAAAAAGTTGGTAAATTAATCTTATGTTTATTATTTATCTTGTTATATAAGGGTATATTTGAGATGTGTATAATTTCTAATTAGAAGTTTATTTTTGTGAATGTTCTATATTATATGTAGTCTTGAGTTTTTCTGGTAAATTATGGTATAAAATTTTTTTATAATTTCATATTTTGTAGGAAAAATTGGGAAAACTGGAGTTATATGATTGAGTTTCTAATTTTACAGGCCCAGCCAATGAACTTATATTTTTGTGCTGCTACCTGACATGAATAGATCGCCTAATGTCAATTTTGAAAGGATTGAAGAGGCTGATCTTAAGTTGCAGTTTCAATTGTAAGTAATCAGATACTAAAATCTTAAAACATATTAATGATGTTATCATTTAATAAATTATGAATGTGTTTAAATATTTTATGCATATTTTCTCTTTTTTATATTTGAAATATTAGTGTTATGTACACATAAAGTTATTCTTTTGGGAAAACGAGCATAGTGTTTTTGAGTAAAAAATTTCGTACAAATTTGGGCTAAAGTGCAGAATCGCCCACTTATTTGTTTGCCGCGTTTTACAAGAGTAAGAAAATTGGATTTTTGTCAATTTTTTTTGACTTTTTAAGTGAAAATAAGTTGATGTGTACATGGATAAAGTCAAGCGTATTTTCTCAGATGTCACAGTGCCATTTTTGTGCAGTTCTCGAATGTTTTTTTAAGTGAAAATAGGTCAGTGTGTACATGGATACTGAGTATGTGCAATTCTTAAAAACATGCCAAGCAGTGGGTGATTCTGCACTTATCCTCAAATTAGCTCATTTTAAAAAATAACCTGTGCTTATACTATTATTGCTTGGTAGAAATAAATTTTGATTTTTCACATTAGATTATAATAAGGGTAATAATTTCATTGTGGTGCTCAGTTTTGAAATTATTCGGTTGATCTTTACAATATGGTAACTGGTAGTTTGGCGACATTTTGGAGGCGATAAAGGTTACTACCTGGGACTTTGGTAATAATGTGAGCAGTACTCAGTTCCGATTACGCATTATTTTGTGTGGGGGAAATGAGAGATCATGGGATATGTCATGTGATATTAATGGACGAATTACGGTTCTTTAATCGGAAATAGGGGGGGGAATTGGGACAAGTATCTGCGGATGTATATTATTTGTATTAAGCTTCATGTGTGTTGTGTGAAGTAGGGTTGAAAATTTTGGGATTGTATGGCGCTGTCTAAGTGAATTGTAGATGTGATAAAAAGAATTTTTTTTTATCAAATTCTATCAAATTTGGAAAAAAATCGTTCAGTAATTTTATTGAATCCATAATAAAAGTGTATCCACCATGTAAGGAAGATTCGGAAGAAGATTAGAGTTAGGTTAGTTAGACTTTGTTAAGAATGTGAGTAGTATTCAAAATGTGAGTAGTATTCAGTTCTGATTACGCATTATTTTGTGTGTGAGGGAAATGAGAGATCATGGGATATGTTATGTGATATTAATGGTTGAATTACTGTTCTGTAATCAGGAAAAAAATCTGGCAGCATTTTGTATTTAGCTTCATAGTGTGTTGTGTGAAACAGTGTTGATTAATTTTTGGATCCCATGGCCCTATGTAAAGTGAATTCGAAATGGGTATTTAGTGGTATTGAAAAGGATAGTAATAAATGTTTTTTAAGGTTTGTGCGAGAGAGAAATAAAGATGTTTTATTATGTTATTTATTTTACCTGGTATCTTGCTTTGAAAGATAAGTATGATTTTAAAGATTCTGAAACAGAAGTAAGAAAAGTGTATCCGCCACGTAATCAAGATTCTGAAGAAGATTAGCTAATTTAGTATTTTTAATTATTTGAGGATATTATTTTTATGCATTGTTGTAAATGTAAGGTGGAAAGGAATTTGGTATTATTGGGAAAATTGTTATTAGTAATGATTTAGTTTAAAGTAATTAGGATTGTAAGGTAATTTTTATTAATTTAATGTATGTGCTCATTTATATTTTAAGTAGTGTTTTTGAATTTAATTATATTTTAATGAAATGATAGTTATTTTGTGAATTTTATGTTTGTAGGAATTTGGTATATACCTTTAAGTTGAAATAAACATGCATGGAAATAATTTAAATATTTGATATTAAGTATTTGTAATGCTTGAGGTATGAATTCTTTGGTGACGTGTATAATGTAATAGATGATTTAGAGGTAAAAGTTTTGGATATTCTATTTATTTTATATGTGGAAATGTTGATATTGTTAAAGGGTAAATACTTTTTCGCGATCATGTAATTTCATATATGTTCTTTTTACCGGGTTTAAAGATTGAGAAAATTGTCATGTATTTTTGTGAAATTTTTTTAATTTATGAGAAAAAAAGCAGTGTACATGGATATAGTGAAGAGTGTGCGCAATGCCATTTTTGTGGCAATTCTGGGATGTTTTTTAAGTAAAAATAAGTCGACGTGTGTACATGGTTTAGTGATATTTTAATGAAATGATAGTTATTTTGTGAATTTTATGCTTGTAGGAATTTGGTATACGTTTAAGTTGAAATAAACGTGCATGGAAATAATTTAAATATTTGATACTAAGTATTTGTAATGCTTGCGGTATGAATTCGTTGGTGACGTGTATAATGTAATAGATGATTTAGAGGTAAAAGTTTTTGGATATTCTATTTATTTTATATGTGGAAATGTTGATATTTGTAAAGGGTAAATACTTTTTCGCGATCATGTAATTTCATATATGTTCTTTTTACCGGGTTTAAAGATTGAGAAAATTGTCATGTATTTTTGTGAAATTTTTTTAATTTATGAGAAAAAAGCAGTGTACATGGATATAGTGAAGAGTGTGCGCAATGCCATTTTTGTGCAATTCTGGGATGTTTTTTTTAAGTAAAAATAAGTCGACGTGTACATGGTTTAGTGATATTTTTTAATGAAATGATAGTTATTTTGTGAATTTTATGCTTGTAGGAATTTGGTATACGTTTAAGTTGGAAATAAACGTGCATGGAAAAATTTAAATATTTGATACTAAGTATTTGTAATGCTTGCGGTATGAATTCGTTGGTGACGTGTATAATGTAATAGATGATTTAGAGGTAAAAGTTTTTGGATATTCTATTTATTTTATATGTGGAAATGTTGATATTTGTAAAGGGTAAATACTTTTTCGCGATCAGGTCATTTCATATATGTTCTTTTTACCGGGTTTAAAGATTGAGAAAATTGTCATGTATTTTCGTGAAATTTTTCTAATTATTGAGAAAAAAGCAGTGTACATGGATATAGTGAAGAGTGTGCGCAATGCCATTTTTGTGCAATTCTGGGATGTTTTTTTAAGTAAAAATAAGTCGGCATGTACATGGTTTATGTGTATGTGTTATTTTGAAAAATGTGTAAGGAGAATGGTATTGTGCAGTTTTTCCTAATTTTGCAGTGAATATTTGTCATGATTAAGCAGTTTTGTTTGATAAAATTTCTAGCATAAGTGTAATTCGGCTAGTGGATTGTTGGAAGAAGTGTTCAGGAGATAAAAAGAAAAGAAACATGTCTTTACTTCGTGAAGACAAAATGGCGGCGGGGAAAAAAAAATGAAGTTTTGCTGTAGGAGAGTTGGTCGGCAAATTTTCGCCAAAAAATCGCCAAGTTACCATAATGTAAAGATCAACCAATTATTCTTGTTACAGTTAAAAGATTTTAAAAAAATTTCAGGAATACGAAATATTTGTTGTATTTTTAAATTTATGTTTTAATTATTAGATCATTTTTCATGTTTAAGTAACTTAAATACTACCACTAGACCTTTTTACATTCATTACACCACAAAATGTTACATTCTGAAATCTCATCTGCCCCGTGCTGAAGGCTTGGATACATGACATTGTAATGAAAGATGCCTTTAAGATGTACTCGACGGTGTTATGAACAGCTGTCAGACTTTGAGAGTGGTCGCATCTTAGAGCTAAAAGAGGCTGGTTGGTCAAATAGGCAGATCACCAGGCATATTGGTGGAAGTCATATGGTCGTTTTCTGTTGTTGGAACCTGTGGCTCAGCGAAGGCCTAGTCGGCTGCTGTAGTAGCTTGGGATGTTTCGCGTCACCAATGTGTGAGGGTGTGATTGCACAATTAGAAAAGCTGCCACATGCACACCAACAGCTATGCTGTAACCTATTCAAGGCCATTTACCAACTTGGAGGATCCCAGAATATCCAAGGATTTACCATTCTGGAGGGATCCCAGAATATCCAAGGATATGATTTGCAGAAGACGTGGTGACGCTGGGCTCAGATCTCATTCTCTATTAAGACACTTGCCATTGACCTCCACCGTGAGCAGTGTCATATTGCATGGTGCCATTTTTGTTCAAGCTGGACAGTGTTTAATTGGAGAAATGTGATCTTCTGCGATAAATCGTGCTTTTCTATCGATGCTGTTGATCGCTGTGGGTACTATTCTGTTAAGAGTTGCATCTAATAAGGAAGAAAAAATGAGAAGGTAATGCTACAACAACACAAAAAGTATTGTGGCTTAAGGATTTAACTTTTGAAAACAGTTTTCATTTCAAATACTGTCACTCGTTATTTTGAGTATTTTTTATTCATGTTTGAAATATTGTGGCTCGAGGTTTCTAGTTTGTCTTGTTTGAAATATCATCATTTGTTAATTTTTTCGGCCGTATTTTACCATTTTTTTTAGTAAAATGGATTACACAATTTTGCAATTACCTAGTGACAAAGAGGCTGCCATGAGATTCTTTCAGGACAAAGAAATAATTCATGGCAATGGACTTTGTTCTCAGAGTCATCCCATAAAGTTAACTTTTGACTCAGACAGAGCTCCTAATTGGCTTTCGTATGTACATTCTTGCTGTGAGGAAGGGGGAAAAAAAAAGATTTAGAACCGAAAAATTTTTTGAAGGCTCGTGTTTTTCTTTCCTCAGTGCTGTTCGTTTTATCTATCTGTGGTGTCAGTAATTGACATCAGCTGAATTTTACCATTTTCAGTAGAAATTAGGGTTAATCTTTGGATTATGGTAACTGGGCGAAAATTTGGCGACCAACCCTGCTACAGCAACTTGCTAGTTTTTGTTTGGACGCCATTTTGTTTTCACGAAGTAAAGGCTTTTTTTTTTTTTTTTTTTTTTTTTTTTTTTACTGAACTTTTCCAACATTTTTTTCCAACAATCTGCTAGCCGAATTATGCTTATGCTAGAACCTTTTATGGAACAAAAGTGCTTAATCATGACGAAGATTAGGTGTGAAATTGGGACAAAGTGCAGAATCGCCCACTGCTTGCCGTGTTTTTACGAATTGCACATACACTGTATCATCCAA